GGATGTGCGGGGGGGGGAGGGGGTGGGGGGGGGGGGGGTCAATCCGGGAAAAAGGAGACATATGTAAAACTTTAGACAATAAAAGAGAAAAGAAAAGAAAAGATGGACAAGATGCTTAATACATGAGTTGCCTGCCTTACTTTCCCTGTTTTGCAGATGAGGAAACTCAGCGCCCAGGAAAACTTTCTACCCCAGCGACAGTTTCAGGAACGGAACACAGTTCTCCAGGTTCCTTCTCATTCCCCCCCCTCCCCCCCTGCCCCGCCCCACCCCAGGACTCGGCCTCCAGAGGCGGAGACCTGCCTGGAGGTACTGCTCACCCGCAGCCGGCGCCCGAAGACGGTGACCTGGCCCCGTGCCTGCTCCTTGCGCTGCCGCCACTCCACCAGGTTGAGGCCATTGTCGATGGGCAACGTGACGTTCCTCTTACCCACGGTGGGGTTGACAGTGCCGGCCAGCAGGTGGGGCTCAGTCTGCAGCGCCACCTCCATGCCATTGGCCAGCAGCAGCCGCAGGGAGCCATCCGCCCCGATGTAGTAGCTGTTCCGGACCTGGTCTGAGGGAGAGGAGAGGGACAGACTGCTCAGGAGGGACAAGGACGGAGGGAGGCAGCGGTGTGGTTTTAATATGTGTTTATTTTTCTGACTATAGAAACAAAATATTATTATTAAAGAAAACGAAGAAAATATATGGACAACAGCCACAATCTCAATACCACCCTCCCCGCCCCCCCCAAAAACCACTATAAATATGATGGTATTATCCTAGATTTTTAGGATATTCCCTAATATAGTCAGAGTATAAAATGTGGCTTATAGTTTTTCACTGACGATTGTATTATATTGTTGAATATTTTTCATGAAAGATTTTACTAATGAATGAGCAGTATTCCATTGTATGAAAATAATTTATTTAACCAAGCTTCAAATAGATTTCTAATTATCGCCAGTTTTCATAATTACATGTAACACTGCAAATAAATATATTTTAAACATTAAGCTAAGTGAAAGAAGTCAGACACAAAAGGCCTTGTATGGTGAATCCCTTTATGTGAAATGTCCAGGACAGGCCAATTCATAGAGAGAGAAAATAAATTAGTGAGGGGAAGGGGAATGGATAGTGACTGCTAAAGGGTAAGGGTTTCTTTTTGGGAGTGATAAAATTTTTCTAGAATTAGATAACAGTAATAGTTGCATAACTTTGTATATATACTAAAAACCACTGAACTAACTGCACACTTTCAAAGGGTGAATTTTATGGTATTTGAATTTTATCTCAATCAAAGAAATATATTTTTTGGTAAGTCAATGTATTCGTTTTGGGTTATTTAATCAAAACAGATTCCTATAAATATTAGTAGAATGAAGGGTGAACATTTTTAAGGCTCTTGATGTACACTAGGGTAACAGTGTTCTTTATAACAAGGTGAAAAATAACTCCAAAACTTAAATCACTGACAGAATGCCAAATATATTTGTGATTTAAAACATATATATGATTTAAAACATATGTTTAAATAAAACATATATATGTATATATGTTTTAAACTATTGTCATATATATACATTACAGAGGGTCCCTGACTCGCAATGGTTCTACTTATGGTTTTTCAGCTTTATGATGGTGTGAAAGCAATATTCTACATGAGATATTCAATACTTTATAATAAAATAAGGCTTTGTATTTGATGATTTTGCCCAACTGTAGGCTAATGTAAGTGTTCTGAGTACATTTAAACTAGGCTAGGCTAAGCCATGGTGTTTGGTAGGTTAGGTGTACTAAATGAATTTTCGACCTAGGATATGATATTTTCAACTTACAATGGGTTTATTGGGATGCAACCCCATCATAAGTCATGGAGCAGCTATATATATAACAGTAATTTAAAAAATAGATACGATTTTGAAGTTTTATATTTGGTTGAAACATTTTAATTCGGATCTGTAGCTAAAAGATGCTTCTGGAGAAAAAAGTCAATTTCAGCTGTGAAATGCACACGGAATTCTCTTCTAAAAATGGAATGAACATCTCTGACCTTATACTGCACTCTCCCGCCTCTTGTCCCTTCTCTGCCTTTGCCTCTGTCTGCAATAAATGGTAGCCCAAGTCCTTCCTTAGAGGCTCTGCTTCACTGTGCTCTCTTCTTAGAAGCTTCCTCTGTATCTCTGGTTAAAATGAATGCCTCCCCCATATGCCCCTTCACCTCTCTATGTGTTTCATTGGTGGTCTTGGTGGCTGAGGGATGTAGGGTTCGCCCACCTGTTAATCACCAAATTCTCAAATACCTCAGTGCTTACGGTGAGAGGCACTCTGCATTGAGATTAAGATCAAGGGTTTTGGAATCAGGCTACCTGAGTTCAAGTCCCAGCGCTGCCAATCTCCTGCTGTAAGACCAGGGGCTAATTCTTTAGCCTCTCATGCCCTTGTTTCATCTGCACACTGGGGCAATAACTGTATTCTTACCTCACAGGATCAAGTGAGATGAGTACTTGGCGTATAGTAAGTATCATATAAACTGTGGCTATTGCTCGTTTTATGTGCCTGGCACTGTGCTGGTCACTGCCATGCATCTCGTCATCTCTATCTCCACTACCCCATTTCACACACCTGTCAGAGTGAACTTTTCCAGTATGACCATGGTCCTTTATTTGGAAAAAGGGAGATATTAGTAATACCTACTTCATCTGGTTATTGTGAGGATTAAATAGGACTATGAATGTAAAACACTAAAAAATATAGTTCATACCAGTAAGTGCTCCGAAATGTTAGTTATCACTATCACTTTTATTGCACGTGCTTAGTAAACATTTGCTGGACTGAACTAGATATATTCCGGGCTCTGACAAGCAATAAGGATGTTGTTTTTGTAGGAAACCCTCACTGAATCTTCCCTGCTAGAATAGCATAAAATGGGTCTCTCTCCCTCCCCTGTTTCCTCCCCTCTCCATTTTCTCTCTCACACACAGAATCCTAAAATCTGCCTCAAACTCGCTATGCATCATTCACCGACAATCTGTATTTTACTTCCTTTGAACAGTGAAAAAGCCTGTGCCAATTTATCTTTTATAAAGCTGCTTCCTCCTGAATCCACATACGTCCATTAATGGTGACTCTGGGTGGAACAGCATCTGCAGAGCCCCATCTCAATGATCCCCATTTAATGTGAGCTGTGACTTCCCAAGGCTGCTGCTCATTAGCAGCTCCTTCCTGTTTCTGCCCAGTGTTCAGATGTGAGATGAAATCGAAAGCGCTTTTTACAAAGACTACTGAGGCGGCTGCAGAACTGAGCATCTGGGCCTGGTGTGAACGAAGGAAGAGGAGGTTGGCAGAGGTACCAAAGAGGGAAAACAGGCACTACGTCTCCTGGGGTCCAATATGTACTTTTCCTTTTCACATTGCACTGTCTCTGAAATTGCAATGTGTCTTAAGTCCTTATATGCATTTCAGGCGGTGGGTCTCCCTCCAGCCCCATCCCCCAACCTGAAAAGTTGTTATTAAATTGATGGTGCCTTTTAAAACCTTTTTGATGGCACTTTTGATTTTCAAAAAAAAAAAAGTTGCCAAATATAAGAAAGCCTGCATTAACTTTTAAGAAAATTGCTCAAAGTTAGCTTAGAGGTATGGAATGGGTGAGACAAGTCTTAACCACAGGGAAGAAAAGGGGCCTGAAGGACAAGGTGTCCGAGTAATGAGTGGCCTTGCTGTCCCTCGTCAGGCAGAAGCCTGGCTGGCTCGGCATTGGTACCTTCTCTGGGTAACAACCCAGTGAGAGCATCACACCGGGGTGTGGCCCAACCCAGGGCTGCAGGTGCTCGGTGGGGAAGAAACCCTAGGGTTTGGTTTCTCTTTCTTTGAGAACTGCTATTGCTCTTTGAGTTTTTTTTAAAAAAAAATTGAATTTACTGGGGTGAGATTGGTCCATAAAAGCATACAGGTTTCAAGTGCACAACTCAACAAAACGTCTTCTGCACAATGTATTGTATACCCATCGCCCCAAGCAAAATCTCTTTTTGTCCCTGTTTCCCCCGCCACACACACTTTGCCTACCTCTACCTACCCTTTCCCTTTCCCTCTGGCTATCACCACATTGTTGTCTCTGTGTGTACACACCCCCACACACGCACACACACGCACATGCACACACACACGCACACGCACGCACACACACAATTTGCTTAATCCCTTTATCTTCTTTCATCCAGCCCCCAAACCCCCTTCCCCTGTGACAACTGTCAGTCTGTTTCATGTATTCATGACTCTGTTTCTATTTTGTTCATTAGATTCCACATATAAGTGAAATCATATGGTATTTGTCTTTCTCTGAGTGGTTTATTTCACTTAGCCTAAAAATCTCCAGGTCTATCCATGCTGTTGCAAAAGGTAAGATTTCTGTGTGTGTGTGTGTGTGTGTGTGTGTGTGTGTGTGTGCGCGCGTGTGTGTGTTTTATGGCCTAGTAGAATTCCATTGTATAGATGTACCACAGCTTTTTTATCCACTCATCTACTGATGGGCACTTGGGCTACTTCCAAATCTTGGCTATTGTGAATAATGCTTCAATGAACATAGGGGTGCATATATTCTTTCGAATTAGTGTTTCAGGTTTCTTCAGATATATTCCTAGAAGTGGGATCACTGGGTCAAATGGGAGTTCCATTTTTAATTTTTTGAGGAAACTCCAGACTGTTTTCCACAGTGGCTGTATAAGTCTGTATTTCCACCAGCAGTGCACAAGGGTTCCTTTTTCTCTACATCCTCACCAGCATTTGTCATTTGTTGACTTATTGATGGTAGCCATTCTGACAGGTGTGAGGTGATATCTCATTGTAGTTTTAATTTGCATCTCTCTGATGATTAGTGACATTGAGCATTTTTTCATGTCTCTTAGCCACCTGTATGTCCCCTTGGAGAAGTGTCTCTTAGGTCCTTTGTCCATTTTTTAATTGGGTTGTTTGTCTTCCTAGTGTTGAGTTTTACGAGTTCTTTATATATTTTGGAAATTAACCCCTTATCAGATGTATCATTGCAAAATATGTCTCCCATACAGTGGGTTCCATTTTCATTTTGTTGATGATTTCTTTTGCTGTGCAAAAGCTTTTTAGTTTGGTGTAGTCCCATCTGTTAATTTTTTTCTTTTGTTTCTATTGCCCGAGGAAATATATCAGCAAAAACATTGTCATGAGAAATGTCTGACATTGTACTGCCTATGTTTTCTTCTAGGATTTTTATGGTTTTGTGAATTACATGTAAGTCTTTAATACATTTTGAGTTTGTTCTTGTGTATGGTCTAAGTTGGTGGCCTAGTTTCATTTCTTAGCATGTTCTTTGACGTTTTTGTTTAAAGGCATAGGGACTTCATTTGGGAGTAAAAATGGTTGTGAAAATATACAATTATTTTCTAATGGTGAATCAAATTCAACTACTTCTTAATTAATTAGTTAATAGACTGGACAAGTACTTACTGGCCAATACTAAGTGCTTGACCCATGCTGGTCACTTTATGGATATTGTCTAAAGAGAGGGTCTGAGCAACCCTGAGTCAGGCATTGCAAGTCAGTTCCATTTCCCAGACGCAGAAACTGAGGCCCAGAGAAGATTGACTCCATCCAGTTCACACAGGTAGGGACTGGCTCAGCAAGCATAGGGGTCCCTGTCTGTCTACCCTAGAACTCCTGCTCAGTGTGCTTCCCCACACCATTTGATGTGGCTTCAACCTGCTTTCTTTTCCCAGAGAAGAAAATTGAGGGCCATGGTGATGTGGCAGAGTGAGAACTAGAATTTGGATGTCTGACACCCAGCCCAAGGTCCTTTTCAATACTTTGTGTCAAAGCTTGTGGGAGTACAAAAAGCCATGTGGTTTACCAGCTGGTGTGGCTCTGTGGTTGAGTGTCGACCCATGAACCAGGAGGTCACGGTTCAATTCCTGGTCAGGGCACATGCCTGGGTTGCAGGCTCGATCCCCATGTAGGAGGCAGCCGATCCATGTTTCTCTCTCATCACTGATGTTTCTACCTCTCCCTACCTCTCCCTTCCTCTCTCTGAAATCAATAACAATATATTAAAAAACACAAAACAAAAAGGCCTGTGGGGTTGAGGGGGTTCGTGAAGACCAAGCGAGCCTTTTCCTGTGCTGCCTTTTTAAAAAAATGCTTACTAAGTCCAGCAAAGCTGCAAGCTCCACTCTAAGTCACCACATCCCCTGAGAACAATTGCGGCAGACAATTCACAGCAATGTTTCATCAACATGATTCAGCTGAAGCTAAAAGATCAACTCATATCAGGGATTACGTGATGGATGCAGAGAGGAAGGGTCTCCTCTCCATGGACTCTCAGCAGAGGCACAAACCATTCTCACCTGAGCTTCAGGAAGGGCTCCTCCATGCCCAAATCCCTTTCATAATTAAGTGTAATTATTCTGTCCTTCGTCCTTGCCTGCACCCGAGTGAGAGTGAGTCTTTAATCTGAGAGCCATTAGAATGGCAGAACAGTGAGGTCACCTCGATTAGGAGCTAATGGATTCTCTACCCTTTGTTCTGATGATAATGGGATGAGATGATGAAATATTACTCTGAGGCTTCAGGGAGAGAATTTATAGGACTCAGGCTGGTGTTTTGCAGATTAGGTGGCAATACAGAGGGAGACCAGTTGTAAAGCTTTTTAGCAGCTGGTTTCTTGTGTTATCCTTTTTCCAAATGGGTCTCCTCACCCCTCTGCCTCAAAGTCCCCCAGCCCCCACCTGGCTTACCTTGCAGGAGTGTATAGAAGGCACCTGAGGCAGACAGGTTGGTGGTTATGGTGACATCATCTTTGCTGGAGGTCTCTACCTGGACATGCACTGAGCTGTCTGTATCACTTCGGAAACTGCTCACCTGGCCAGTAGGGAAGGTCACATTTGTCAGGCGGCCAAAGCTGTCATACCTAAAAACCAAGGGGTAGTTCTGAGTAACAGGAATATAACGGTGTTAGAGCTGGAACTTAGCACGTTCTACCTCATGCCAAAGTTTTTGCGTGTTCTGCTTTTCTTTCTGTTTAGATGCATTTCCATGTCTCCTCCATCTCCTTGCACATCGTTTTCAGGATAAGGCTACACTTGCTGATACCGACTGCAGGCAAATGACTTACCTCTCTGAGTCTTATTTTCTTAATTCCATAAAGTGGAGAGGATAAGTCCTCTCCTGCCTACCTCCCAGGATTACCATGAAGGACATGTGGATGTGCCCGTAGCTATAAATGAATATTCACCCATGAAGGTGGAGATGATGTAACCATATGCTGACCCAGAGTCTCAAAGCTGGGGACTCCCATAGCTGAGGTGGGCAAACCTGATGCTTGAATACCTTGTCTAACCCCCCAAGAACTGGTATACAGATTTTATAAGAACAATATTAAGATGGGGCTTCCCAGGAAGCTATAGATCCTGGGAAAAGTGGACTTGGAATCCAAACCAGGACTCCGCTGCCACATAAGCAGGCCAAACAGATAGGCTCTTGCAATCTCTTCCCATCTAGATTCCATATCTGGCACCAAGCAGCTATGGATCTGCAGCTCTCACAACTCACAGCTTTGCTCTGGTGTGGTCCATCTGAAGCATTATAATTGCATCTTACTTTGTTTCCCCATTCTCCTGATAATAATAAAAGAAATACCTACCATCATTGAACACCTCCAACATACCAGGTATGGTGCTAGTCCCTTTTCATAGTCTTTCATTTAAACCTCACAACTAGTCTAAAAAGATATATAATATCTTCCTTTTGGAAGAGGCTCAGGAATTGAGGCTCAGAAAAGTGAAGTCACCTGCTCAAGGTCACACAGGTAAGTGGGTGGAGTCAAAATTCAAACTTCGATCTATCTGCTTCCAAGCTACCACTTGCTTCTCTGTCTCCAATGAGCATGCCGGTCCTGTCTATTTGCAAGTATCCATTTTGTGCTCGCCTACCTGCTGTAAAGTGGCTGGAAGATGGCAGGGAGTAGGCTATTAACATGCGAGTGATTATTTTTAATTAGGGGAGGCTGAAGTGTAAAAAGGTAGGTTTAAATAGCCTTTTTGCACTTGTATGTGAATGGGGAAAAACTTCTTCATCCAGATGTCAATATATACTTTGCTTCATGAATCTGCGTGCCATCCTTCTGCAGGGGCCATGCTAATCTTTATCTATCGTTCCAATTTCAGTAAATGTGCTGCCAATATTTCTGATTCCCACTCCTGCCCAAGCTTGCAGCATGGGTTCATCCACATGTGTCTCCCTCCCCCACTGTACTCTGGGTCTCCCTCTGGACTTTGTTTCATGCTTTGCCTTTATTACTGGAGTAAAGCTCGCCCCTGGGTCCCTGAGGGTTTTAACAATGGTGAAGTGAAAGGCCAAAAGTTCAGCCATGCTGGTTGTTCTGTGATTCCTTTAGCTGGGCCTAGCTTCCTGCCCCGATCCCTGGGTCCTACAGCTCATGTGGTTTCAGAGGAGGCCTGGGGAATGAGACCAGGCAGGAATTCTCCGAGCCACTTTCTGCCCAAGGTCAGATGTGGGTGCTGCATGGATTCTGCCACCTGCCATCTCTTTCTGTCCCTGTGCCTGGTACTGACCACATTCTTGACACTGAATGGTGACAGTCCCTGGCACAATCTGCCACAGAGGAGGTGTTGGTAAAGTTTAATGACTCATCAATCCTTGACCCAAGACTAAGTCAGAGGGAAGGGCTGAGGGGCTTTGGGAAAGCTGAATCTCTGTTGCTGAGGATGAGAAAGGGGAATGGAAGCCCTTTCCAAGATGGCGAGCAACACAGTGGCTTCTACCATCTACCTCATGCCTGGGCTTGTAGGGGCAAGGCTGTGGGGCTGTTACCAGTCCTTTCAGCTCTCCTACAGGTGGTTAAGGGCCTTTGGAAACCTATTTCCTGTCCTGATTTCTCATTTTTCTTCCTAAGTACTGAGTCAGATTCTTGTGAGAAATGGTCAGTCAGGCTTAGGGCCTGGTGGAGTAGCCCGAGACCTGGGCTGTGTCAGAGGTGCTGAGCACCCCTCGGAGCTGGGGAAGGGAGCTGTTCCGAGACTGCTGCTAGGAAGGAGGGCAAGTCTGGGGCAAAGATCCGGAATGTTTGCCCTAAGGCCCTTCTCACCTGGAGACTCCCTGGGACTCTGCTCCCCTCCCTCTAGGAGAGGCTGGTGTTCTTTCTGACCCTTTAAGGCTGCTGGAAATTTGAGCAGGAAGGAATGTCACACCAATGTTTACATGGTTATCTCTTGGAAGTAGAACTGCAGGTGATTTTAATTGCTTATTTGTATGTTTCATGTTCCCAACACTTCCTATAATTTACATGATTAGTTTCATGATCAGAAGTGTTGTGATGGCATACAGGGAGCATGTGACCACAGCTACCTTGGGGAGGAGGACCTTGTAAATTACTGGCATTTAAAGAAGAGTCTCATTACCAGACACCTGCCAATACCCATCTCCAGGCCTTGTCAGTAAAATACTTCTAGGGTACCCCACATTTTTTTATCTAAAAAAATATATTTTAGCCCTGACCGGTTTGGCTTAGTGGATAGAGCGTCGGCCTGTGGACTGAAGGGTCCCGGGTTTGATTCTGGTCAAGGGCATGTACCTTGGTTTCGGGCACATCCCCAGTAGGGGGTGTACAGGAGGCAGCTGATCGATGTTTCTCTCTCATTGATGTTTCTAACTCTCTGTCCCTGGACTGAAGGGTCCCGGGTTTGATTCTGGTCAAGGGCATGTACCTTGGTTGCGGGCACATCCCCAGTAGGGGGTGTACAGGAGGCAGCTGATCGATGTTTCTCTCTCATTGATGTTTCTAACTCTCTGTCCCTCTCCCTTCCTCTCTGTAAAAAATAGGGCGGGCACCCCACATTTTTGAGCCCCAAATCAAAACTCTCTAAGACTGGCTCAGCCCTGGTCATCTTGACTGTACCATTGTCTTATGAGTAAACAGAGCTCTCATCTTTTAAATCAACAGGAAGGTCCATTACAGTCCAAGAAGTTCATGGGATGGATACTGATTCATTCTGGTTCTTTGAACACCTGTTATCCATGTATATACTCTTTATTAATGAGACTACTTACTCAAACCCTCCACTTTCCTGACCTAACTGGCTAAAAAAATTTTTTATTATACAATGCAGGACACTTAAAAAGGAGGTTTACAGTCTTATAAAGAATTGATAGAGAGACTATTGATTAGGCATCAGATGTCATTTTAATACTACTTCTAACAAGGCCTTCCTTGTTCAAATGCCACCTCATAAAGCCCTCCCTGGTCTCTCTGGGGAGACTGGCACAGCTCTGTCATAGAATGTGTCCCCTGCATCGATGCAGCTGATGTACAAGTTGCCTCCTGCTTAGGCCTGGGAGTGCTCGAGTCAGGGCAGGGCTGTGGCGTCAGCCAGCCAGGCTGGGAATCTGGATTCCAGCTCCTGCCAGCAAAGGGACCCTGCAGGACTGGCTCTCAGTTCATCTCTGCTTCCCCAGCACTGGGACCAGCACAGAGAAGACAGGCAGGGAATGTTGGCCGCACAAATAAATCCATGCATAATTGGAAGCACAGGGCCTCTTTCCTGCTCTTTTGGAGTAGGGGGACCATGATTCATGCACACGCTGCCACCTGCAGGACCTGACAGAGGCTTGGCACACAGTAGGCGCATCATCAACATCTGCTGAATGCACGAACACGGAGACAACTGCTTACACTAAATGGTACTTGAGCAAGCTCTGTAGGCATCTCCCTAGAGTTTTCATCCCCAAGACAGAAAGAAGCTTTGCATAAAGGCAGACAATTGTAATTATTATTGAAGGTAGCCTGTAACACATAATTAAATCGAGCCTGAAGAAGATGCCATGAGAAGGCCCCATGCCTTCAAGACCTGGTTTTCATTTTATATGAGATGGCTGAAAAACAGTAATTTTCACTCCTCACATTTTCCATTAGAAGGACTGAATGTCTTAATTAAATGAACATCAAATGGAACAGCCAATTTATAGAATTTTCTTGTCTCCTATTCTATCATTGCGGTGCCTTCCAGAGCTTGAGAAATGCCACTGGATCTCTTTGCTGCCTGATCGATACCTGCGATTATCCCATCAGATCACCGGCTTCTGCCTCTGCGGGGAAGAGCTGGAGCTGCCCATCCTCAAGACCTTGGACACCTTCGCCCTGTGGCCCCCTCTATGGAGCCATTTCTCTTCCTGTTGAACAGCTGCTAAGAGACAGGGGGTCAGGGGGGGGCACCGCTGCCCAACAAGGGACAGGGGGGCAGTTCTCTGTACTCTCTGGATTCCAAGAGGCTGCTCCTGACCTTGGTCCTGTGATTAAGTGACTTCTGGACAATGGTTTAGTTACTTAAAGTACTGGCAAATATTCTTTCTTTCTAGCCAAGAGGAATGAAGGAGCATGGTTTAGTTACTTAAAGTACTGGCAAATATTCTTTCTAGCCAAGAGGAATGAAGGAGCGTGAGGATGTGGGAATAGAAGGTCCTTGGAGCCAGATGGTCTAGGCTTTGAATCCAGGCTCTCCACCTGCCAGCAATGCGACTCTACTGGCTCATTCATCTTCATTTCTTATAGAGCATGTGTTCCTAGAAGCAAGTGTTCTGTCTTCTCTCTCATCATTGATGTTTCTCCTGCTAACAACCAACCCTCACCACACTGACATTATTGCAGGCAGATTATGCAACCTAACCTCTGGAAGCCTCTATTTTCTCCTCTATAAAATGAGGGTAAGGATACCTATCTTAGTCAGAGATTGTGGAGATCAAAAGGTAACATATTTAAAAGGAAATGCCAATGCTTACCCAGGCTCACAGGACCCAACAAGGCTTCTTTCACTAGTCCATCAACCTCCTGAGGGAAGGGACTTTGTGTGGTCACTGATGCATCCCAGAACTAAGAAGAGTGCTTGGCAGATGCTT